CGTGAAGAACGTGTGAAGATGCTTTTTGATGATGATTTTTTCCACCAAACTATACCAATTGCTAATAAAATTACAACAGTAGGAATAACTGTTGATAAAACAATTATGTAAGTCTCTTTCGAAGGATTCACATTATTGGTTAATGTATTTGTTATTGTAATCGATGTAGTTTCTATTGGTGGTAATGATGCAATTGTTATTATCGTTATTGTCGAATTTTCATAGCGTGTCGATAATGTTGTTTGACTAGTTGTAGAAGAATGAATTTCTTCTTGAGTACTGTCCACCTACATAAACAAAGAAATACTAAGGATACTATATAATGTATTATTTATCGCTAACTATTATGAATGTCTTATGTTTGTTGACATTATCATAAGAAAAACATATTATTATAGCAAATAAATTAACGATTATATGTCTAGATTGCAGTATAAGGAAAACTAATATACAAGAATAGAAGAGATATTCTTAGTTTTCTTTCGATAATATGATATCATAAAGTTGTAGAAACGATTTATTTAGAATGGGAAATGATAGTGATATTAAAATAAGTAATATCATTTTTATTTTTATCTGATACATTACTGTCGGTAGAGTTTTGGTGGTAGTATGAGATGCTGTTGTCATTGATGGTGATATAACCGTTGTTGGTAATGTACTATATTAAAAACTAAAGAATGCATTAAACAAAATATTGATCGAACTAACTTGCTAGTACTTTCAATAGAAGATTTTGTTTCTGACATATTATCCTTTTCAAATATACAAACAAATAAGTAATAGTAAAAAATGAAACAAATATTACTGTAGTCATTGCAGGTGCACTGCTGGTTAATATTATTATACTAGTGGATTGCTAAAAGATATCATTTAATTTATTAAAATTCTTTTTCTATTTTATTATAACTTATACTGCTGTTGTTGTTTCAAGGTGCATTGAAGTCCTGTATAAATGATAAGGAATAAACATAATACTCAATATTCTTTAATAATACGTACGTAAATGTAGTATCTTTAATAGTTGTCATCGATGTTAACTCAGTTGTTAGAGTATCTTCACCTATATTAATATCAATTAACAAGTTAGTTTTTGTTTCTCATAAATATCAACCTACTGCAGTTGCCTTGATAAATCGATAATTCATCGATTCCAGCGAAAGGATTTACTGTACCAGATCTCCTTTGTATATCAAAGAATATCTACGATATCCATCGAATATACAAATATGTGTGATAATTTGATGTTACAATTATATTACATACTTTATAATTTGATTCCAAAGCAAAAAATGGTACTTGACGTTTGATCCATCCATTGATTGCAGTACTAGTTACACTATCAATTGTTTCATTTTTACCATTAGTTTCTTCTTTTATAACAGTAATAGTATTGTTAGTCACATTTGACAAATAGTAATAATAAATAAGACATTGTTCATTAACACCATTAATACCTCCTGATTTAGTTTTGATCTGGAAAGATTTTATGGTATTATCGGTCAGCTGTAAACTACCAAATTTACCTTTAGATTGTAATAAAGAGTTTACTAGAAAGACATAATTTGAGTTATTTAAAACAAACCTATAGCACATGTGCTATTGGAATTTATTACAGTTGGACAATAGCCCCTGTTACAAAAATACATATCCCAGGTAAAATTTGCTACTTTATAAGGTACAGCACATATTTGTCCATCATTTGTTGGTGTAACTAACGGTAAGTGAAAACATTCAGAATATACATAAGATTTTATTATTGACTTACGAATTGAAGTTACATCGGACAAGGGCCTACTTGGTGCTAGAAGATTTTTAGATTGCTTAATATATAAATTTGATCATATAAATCAATCTTTACTATTCAAAACTACCATTTATTAGATTAAATAGAAAGTACAACATTACGATCGCACTTCTAAAATAACTTTAGTGTTATTTTGTTCGCAGAAGTGTATTTTGATGAATTAAATGATGCAAGTTTTGAACAATAAAAACTAATTCAAACAATACTACCTATAAAAATCGGCCCACCGATACCAGAAGTCAGAATTATATTTGTGGTAAAGCAGTGATCGGTTTGAATAGAATCGTCAAAGTTACATTCATATAGAACTTGTGAGTTAATATGCGATATTAATATCAAAATGATGGTAAATCTAACATTCTATTATTATTATATATTTACTTATATAAAAAAAACTTACACAAATATACAAAATAGAAAATACGTCATTTTTGTTTATGACAATTATTTAAATATTTATATCAACATACACATGTCTTTGTCATTTTATAATATTACGATAGCTTATCTATGTTGTCTGTAAATAAAGGAACACAATTCTTCCTACTTTCTGTTGACTTACTCGAAACTAGAGAATGGATGGATGTGGGTATAGGTGATGAAGAAAACACGACCCACACCCTGCCATATTGTATTATTCGCATATATCATCATTTTTAGTACATTCATCCATGTTCAATTACTATAGCATGGTAATCACTTGTACCTTTTCTGCATCTATTATTGTTCCTGTTAAACATTTCTGTCATAGATATCAAGACAAGATAATATCTTTTTTGTACTATAACAATACAAGTTTCAACTTTACCAGTTCTTGAGCTTGTTTTTCTACATTAGGAGGACCAAGTCTGATCGAGAAACGTTTGTCTTTCATATATGACATAATTAGATGAATAAACAGAAAAAAGAATTTCAGATATCCAAAATACAGCAATAAGAGTGAGATGTAAAATATTTACAGATCTGATTAGTATCTCATCATATTGATTATATAAGAAATCTTAATTTAACCCCTTCACCGTTAAGTTTGTTTTTCAAATATTTAGTAAAATTTTTGTAATTTAACTTTTGTGAATTCATAGATAATTAAGGATAATAGAAGACGTTAGAGAACATATATTTTACTGTTTATACAGAAAATAGAAGTTGTTTTTCAATGACAAAGAGTAAGAACTTTGTCCGAGAATAGTGTTTTCAATAAACTGATATTGATCTTATTTGATCTCTTCTTTTCCTATTACACAATTTCAAGAGCGAAGAACATCGTCCATATGGAATATCAGGATCCGTGGGGCTATCTTCAGTAAGTGCAGGATGCTAGAGCAGGCTCATAGTATACAAAGAAAACAGAATTAAGGAATTACAGTAGCCATCTTTTCCATAAAATTGCTCTGACGAGTATACTCGTCGTTAACGGTGAAGGGGTTAAGTATGATTAAATGTTATCTCTACCTGATGAGATGATTAAATACAGCAGTAGTATTAAGAGAAGATAAATCTAAAGAAGTAAATATGTACATCCTATATTTCACAAAAAGAAACAAAAATAAAAAACAAAAGTCTATTGTCGTCTATAAGAACGAGGACGCTGACGATCATTGGCAGGCCATTTGCCAGTAAATGGCGTCTGATCTTCATAAGCACCACTTATTGGCGCTGGCCGCATAGGTATTGCTGGTGGAATGAGACGACCTAAAGACGATGCTAGAGTTCTTGCAAACCAATCGTTAATTTCACGAATTCCTATTAATAGAAAAAAAAATATATTATTTAAAATATTATTATTATATTAATATGATTTTACTTACCATGTAATGAAAAGTTACCATGTGAACTAATCACAAGGTTCTTTCGACGAGACCACAAGTCAAATCGATTAAATGTCGTAAAGCCATTGTTTTGTACAATAGTGTCTATTTCACGGAGACACTTGTCAAAATCAACTTTTTTGGTCATTACCTTATCTACTTTTTCTGGTATAGGCGATATCCAGCACATATATGGTTTAACTTTATATGTCTGGTCACAGAATTTCACCAGATACTTCAAGAAACTCGCTAAATGGACCTTATAATTGTTGAAATAAGTGTCCACTGAATCAGTTGATTTATTCAACTTAAATCTATAAAGAAGAACCAGTAAGATAACATTGAAATAGAGTTAAATAAATCTTACCTGTTCATATCAGCTGTATATGAACAACAAACGACAGCATCCACCTTTCCCAAGCCAGGTATGGTATGTAAAAAATCAATGGACTCCATTGATACCTGCTCATCTAATAAAGTTGATACATGTACATATATCAACCTAATGCAGCGATCTTGTACACAAAATTGACGAATCTGTCGATACGCGTCCGTTCCACCCTTGCCATCCTTACCAACCTTCAACACCCTTGTCTCACCTAAAATTACAATAAAAAGAACAATATACTATTTATTATGTTACTTAAATTACCTTCAAGAGGCGTATAATTACCATGACCACACCTTGCCTCATCATACGTCAACAAATAACCACGCAACAAGACATACAGAGGTCACGGTACAAAAGCCGAATGGAGCTATCCCCAATGAATAGCACCGTCAAACCATCGTAGATACTCAAGTAATCAGCGTGAGATACCCCGTCGGAAGTAGCAACCTTGGTGGACCGCTGAGTCTCTCCTACCAAGGCTGGTATTTCTACATTGCAAATTTTTGGCACTTTCGAAATATCAGACCCTTCATAGGAGTTGTAGTGTGGAAACGTCGACATTATCAACTGAATCATATGATTTATTCAACTTATGTCTAAGAAGAGGAAACACTAGAAGAATATTGAAATAAAATTAAACAAATCTTATCGGTTCATACCGGACGTACATGAACAACAGACTACATCAATATTACGTCTACCAGTAATTTTTGGTAACGTAGCATCCATGTTAACCCAGGACGATAATTCCGACCATCGGAAGCAGGATCTTGCACGACCTGAAATGGTTAAAAGACAGCATATTACTGTATTAATTCTCACTAACTTCACATCTATGCACCAAAAAACGTTTTTAGCTTTCGCTTTACCGCATTTCTGCTGGCTATTTTGTACGTGGTTTTATTTCACTGAAAATCAAAAGAGAACGATTGAACATATCTTCCGCTCAGGCATAAGAATTTTATACTCTCTCACAGGATGGGATGATGTATTGAGTATGATTCTATGAAAAGAGAAAAGTTTACTGGACTATATATTTTTAATGGTGTCATTTTAACTGTCATCTGGAAAGAGCAGCTAACACCCTTCAATTTCAAAAATCCTGACAGGCCTTTAATATGACTAATCCACCTAAAAAAGAGTGATATCACTCATTAGGATTCACAAAAAATAGTTTCTTTCCAAATAGATAAGCTAAACGTGCGCAATATACCCTAAATGATTGGGATATTTTGAAATCACTCAAAAAGAACAACTCAACCGTTTTAAAGAAAATACACTGTACCTGAATACATTTGTGCTGACATATTTTGTGCAGTAACAGGTTCGATTGCTGTTCATCATTAATATCTAAAAGAGAAAAAAAGAAATGTATCTCTTAATGCCCATATCATATTGAGCAAGGACCACATGTGTTAACCTTTACAAATTATTATTTTAAAAAGCGGTCGCTAGCTTATAAATGTATATTCTACTTCATGCTTCTACGGTATATGTTATGACGGAACAACTATCTTGTTCACGATTTATTCAAGAAGGCATCAACACAGCACAAAACAAACGAGAGCAAACGAACATGAAGAAGAGAAAAAGAGAGAAAGGGTAAAGGTTTATATTCGCAAGCGAAAAGATGAACCGTGTCTATATATGTTGCTCGGTGGATGACCTCGGTCACGGAGATAGGGAGGATGACGAATTGAATCCGTCACATATGTATTTTTCTTTTTATTTCTTTTTCTTCGCCTATTCTTATTTATCATAAATGTGTCTATACACATCTTCACTTCACTTCTACTCTCTGTTTGTACAATGATTAATCGAATGTATTATTTTGTAAATACCTAAACTCATTAAAATTCCTCTTTCTCTTTAATTGTGAACTCTTCATGGCACAATAAATTGAATAAAAAAACTAAGTAATTCAGAGAAAAAGAAGAAAAAAAGTATTTTTTTTCTAATGAATAAGTCATTATCAATTTCATTCTTTTCTAAAAATCTTATTTAATTAACTTACGCAATACTTAATTGAGGCAAAGGCTTATATAACTGTTCAGCGATATTGTTAAAGCATAGCCGAACATCATCTAAGCTAATTATTCATGGAAAATACATATCAGTTCGATGTTCGATAAATATATTGCGATAATCATTTAAAAAAATGACAATGCCAATACAACATTTAAGATCTGTTGTTGTCAAACAATCAAGTGCTGAACCAAAATAGTCCATTTTAATATTGTTTAGTACCGTGTATGACATATTTTATTTTATCTTTTATTTGTATATTCTTGAATATCAAAGCTTGAAGAGGGTGTGGGTGTGGGTGTAGCCATTGTGTTCTTCTTTTACCCACGGCTACCCGCAGGTCGAATCTGTCTTTTTCTGTATTGATTTTAATGATTTTCAACGATTTTAATCTTGTATTTTCTTTGAATTAAAACCAAATGTACTGAAATGTCGAAATCTAAAAAACTGAATAGGCATTTTGACACATAATAACTGAATATGTCCCAAATATTATTATTTTGAGTGTGAATACTTCGGCTGAAGAATAATTTAAAACAATGTGAAACATATCATTTGATGCAAAGTTGAATGGACTATGAGATGATGTTATTGATTTTCTGACAATCATCTTATGACATGAATATTTTATGAAAAGAGTGAGTGTCGGTATAAATAATGAAGGAAACAAGATCCACACCCTTTTTTGTAGAGAAATGAGTTTTCAGAGAAGAAAAAACTGAATATTTATTTTTAAAATAAATTTTATTTAAAAACGCATGTTCCATATCTGGCAAGATTTTTCAAAATATTTAATTAAATTAGAATATTATGAGTATTTGTGTAATTCCATTTACTTTTCTAAGTAGTTTTATTGAGGGTGTTATTTTATAAACTCAAAGCACAATGTTGAGATCCGATGTATGAGTTGAATAAGTTAAGAAAAGAAAAAGAAATTGTTCAGCCGTGGTTTTGATCTTCAAAACTGATTTTATTTTCAAACAGAAAACACAAAGGACTGTTCACAACAAGAGAAAAAAAACAAACAAAGTCATTCACGTAGATGACTATCTACATATATAAAAAGCACACAAATATTTACAAAAACTTATTACAAAGTTCAGATCAATATTCAAATCAGTCATAGAATATTTAAACCGTATTTGGTATATCTTATTTTAGAATGCCATTAGGTAATTACTGTCAGACTAATTCTATCCATGACATATGCATTTTTATTGTTCGATATTTCTATACGAATAACGTGTATGTGATCCTTTTTCGTTTCTGTATTCTCTAATATACTTTATTTCAAACGGACGTAAAGTTTAAAATATTTATATAGCTATCCCTTCACGTTTCAACCGTCAGCAATATTTAAGTAAAGGTAGGATTTATATACCGTATTTATTAGCTATTATTGATCATTTGTTATCAATTATACTAATCTAGAAAGAGCGATATTTTTAGCAATAACTTATATGCTAGTTCTTTCTTTTTCTTTTATCTCAAAAGATACTTTTCTTTGTCATTCTTTCGAAAAGAAATATTGCTCTGATCTAGTATATATGCTATCTAGGTATATATTTTGTTAAAATATATTATAGAATACTTTCTAACGTAAAATAGATTAATAATTTTTTAATATCTATCTTTGTCAAATGAAGTTTCTTAAGATAATCTACAACTACTGGATTCTATCTAAACCGAATAAAAAGAAAATTATTCTTACTTAGTTAATATGGTCAAATTGAAATCTGATTTGAGTAAAATAAAACATTTTATTTTTTCGTGATATTTAGTTATCCATGGCTAATTCTTCTTAGAAGATAACAATTCAAGAAGAAAAGTGCAGGTTGCAAAAGTGACAGGGCCTGGTAAAAATGCCATTGATAGTAGCCCTGATTGTCAATTTTCTTCTTTCCATTTATGGTATCCTCTTGTTGATAGCAGAGTATGGATTACCAGGTCTTGAAATATCCAAGGATTATATTTCAAAATTTATCCACAGTATCACTGTTGACAAAATGGGAAGTGCTCTCCTTGGAATTCTTGGTTTTACTAAGAGTAAAGACACAGTATATCTGTACGAATAGACGTGCATGCGATTTTTTTTTCGTTTCTGTTCTCTCATATAGTTTATTTCAAACGGACGTAAAGTTTAAAATATTTCTATAGTTATCCTCACGTTTCGATCATCAGCAATATATAAACAAAGGTAAGATTTATACACAGTATTTATTAGTTGATACAGTGGAACCTCTATTGTTGAACACCTTCTCTAATGAACACTTTTTAGAAAGTCCTGTTAGTGTTCATCTTAGAGAGGTTTCACTGTATATTTAATAAATCCTCATTACTTTGTAAATGTTCATCAATAATAAATGAATTTAATCGATTAATGTTATTTTGATTTTTTAATGAATTTGTTTGAAAATGAAATGAAATATTATTAATAAGATTTAAATATCGAAAAAAAAACTTAGCTTTTGAACGTGATGTTAAAATTTTCGATAATTTTTCTTTTGATAATATTGTGCTTGAACAAGAAAATCAATTTCATTATTTATAATTTGAAATATTTCATTCATATATATCAATTCACCAGTTAAAGAATTATCTGATTGTTTATCATTCTCACTTTAAAAATTAAATGAAGTTTTTTTTAATGAAAACAAAACAAATAAAAACTTACTCAATAATATAAATTAAGTATTTTTTCGTGTTATTTAGTATTTAATGGCATCGATGGCTTACTCGTCTCAAAAGTCAACAAACATGGACGACTTAAAACCATTGAGAAAAGAAAATTACGACTTGAAAAAACAAGTGCTGCAACTAGAAAATGCAGTGCGTCGTAAAGCCGAATTGCTTGAAGAAGCTCGTCTACGATCTAAGAAACATCGCGAAGAGAAGATCAGGCTATAGAAGCTTGAGGGCCTGGTTACGATCTCATTACTGATAGCCAAGGTTCTCACTTTGTTTCTTACGATTTATGGTATTCTCTTGTATGTAGCAGCGAAGGGATTACCACGTATTGAAATAGCCAAGACGTATGCTTCATATTTTATCAACAATGATACTACTGATAAAATAGGAAGTGCTCTCCTTGGAGTTCTTGGTTTTACTGTGGCTATACCAGCACAATGCGTTTTCCCAGCACCTTGGCGTTCTTTTGCTATCGAACAGATGGCACTTATGTTCTTGCCAAAGTGGTTTAATGTGTTTTCAATTGTATTTGATTGTGGAACAGTGTTCACTCTTGATTTTGATAGAGAAGAACAGGTTAGTTTTTGTGAAATTAATTTCAGATGAATCATATTATTATTTAATTCTTGAAACAAAATTTCATAATACATTTTTTTAATATTCTAGGTCAAAGTCGAGGAAGAAGCCAATGTTATGAAATGGGCCAAAAAGCAGAATAATAAAAACTTTAAATTGTTTTTTTTTACTTTTTTATTTATTAAAAAATTAGATTTATAATAAAAGAACAAAAATATTGTCTAGAATTTCGTTTATTATTACAAAACTTATGTAATCGATTAAAGAGTTTGCCAGCCTGTATCTTGTAGAGTCATTTATGAAATTCTAAATAGGCAATGAAAAATATAGAATACATCTTTATATCTAACTTACAACTGATTGTTTAAATTCTTTAAGTAAATGTCCATGAATTGTTGATTTTTTATTTGTTGATAAAGAAGAAGAATTTTATAATGAATAATTAATGATTTTATAAAATAAGTTGAGTTCATAGAATAAATGGTGGGTGTGGGTACTGTAGCGCTATGAATTATAGAAGTTTGATATTATTTAGTATTATTTTTGTAGTTTTAAATTTATTGATTATTTTGGTTCGGATCAATTAATTGTGAACTAGTATGTGAAAATAAATATGTGTAAGAAACAATTTAACTTTTAACTTCACAAAATACTTATGTAATAAAAAAAATATTCTAAAGATTACGTTATTAAGGAATCAGCTATTATAGCATTAACTATCCATCCACACCCTCAAGATGGCCAAGTTAATTGCACAATTGTTGATTAATTATTCAACGATTTCAAAAAAAATAAATTTTGTTTTATTTACAATATTCAAAATTTTTATTAAATATTCTTGAAAATACAAACAAGTTCTGATTAATTTTCATTTTTGTAGTACAATAATTATAATATGACTCAAATATTTTCTTGCATGGAGATTGTAGTAAACCCCCCCCTATAATAGAAGCCCACCCCATATTAGAAGCCCCCCCGTATTAGAAGCCCACCCTGAGATGAGCAACGTGTTTAACGTATTAGAAGCCCCCCTAATTTTTTTAAAATTTTTCATAATTTTTTCGAATTTCCCTGCTAAAGTTGCTAAAATTTGTCGATTTTAAGGTGAAATTTCGACTAACTCCTATCTAACTATGCTTAAATCTGGAAAAATTGCAAAAAATCTTCTGAAAAACTCATGAAAACCCTGAAAATCTCTAAATACCTTCCGAATCGGTTTCCTTATCATAGTCTATGAAAATTTTTTGGGACTTAATAGAAGCCCCCTCCAAAAATTATAAACGGTAGCCAAATTAGAAGCCCAGGGGGCTTCTAATATGGGAGGGGGTTTAATACCAGAAAAAAAATGTTTGAATAGAGAGACTAGAATAAATAAATGAATGAATTAAATGAAATTGTCAATCAGTCTTGGATGTTGGTGTGGGAGTGCGTATTCTTCTCATTCAATACCCACACCCACACCCTCATAGTAGTATGTTTACTGTTCATTATTGTTATATTAATATGTAAAAAATAGTACATAACAATTCATACATGCTAGAAATCAAAACAAATCGAATTGAACTTAAGAGTAACAAGTAATGTGCTGGTGAATGCAATATTCCAATGTTTTATTTCTTCAAATGTAGATTTTTTGATTTTATATAAAATGTGTGCTGAGAAGCAAAAGGCAAAAACGAATATACTATGAATAATATATTAAACTTAAGTGCAGCATACATAGTCTATAAATAATATTTGCTCAACGGGTAAGTTTAAATTATAACAAAGCTCTATTGTACCATAGTTAACTTTAGAAAACAAAGTAATTTGAATTCATGCTATATTATTCATTCTGTTTGAAAGTTCCTATGTAAAAAAATGGAGAATTCACTACAATATCACGTCTTTTATATATATAAGCAAAATAATCGTTTTTCTATAAGTCTTTTAAATTTTATGGCAGAAAGATAACATGTGCAAGTTAGACAAGAGTTTATTAATATGTTAAAACTTGTAAAAAGCATCATTGTTTATTCTTAGACCAGTTGCATATGGTTTTTAACAATGAATAAAATATGGTACGTTTTCATAAGTATAAGTATTTTGATAGAGATTATAAATTAGTATCCTGCGGGAACGTGGGAATGGGAACGGAGCTAAAAGCTCACGTTCCCTAAGCTGTGACAAATTTTATTTCAATATACAAAAATATTTCTATCTAATAACTGTTTATTTTTAATAATTTTTGTTATTCATATATAATTAACAGAAAAATAACAAATGTGTATCAACAAACAGAAACTATCGCTTTATTCTTAATTATATTATCATTTAATCATCAAAAATAAAATTTTCTTTTTCATCATTGTCGTTCAAGATAACATTACCAAGACGATCTTGTAGTAACACTTCATTACTATCATGTTGTTGTGATAAATCGTTTTCATCATTCTCTGTTTAATACTTCCGTTTCTTCGTCGCCGTAGTTAATGTACTACTATTTTTTCGTTTTTTTATCTGTTAAATAGATGTCGAAATAATTCTTTCAACAATGATAAGTTTCGACGTATAAATCATATTTTGTATGTTATTAAAAAAGCAAGCATAAGTAGAATATTCAGTAAAATATTCCTCGAATCGTTACGTACTTTTGATTTATTTAATAACACATTACTATGAGCAGAATCTGGTGTCACCAGCAACTGGTACACATATATGATAATGACTCTTTTCTCGTAGATGAAGAGAGCCTTTGAAAACTTTGGGAATTAAGGGAATGGGAAGCAAAAAAAGTTGATCCCGCAGGACACTTATAAATGCAAGTATGTAAAAAATATATTCATATACTAAAAGACTTCACACTATTATTTCATTTGTTCAACATCTATCCTGTTAATTTATCTTTAAGTGAAAATAGTCAAGTAATTTCTATTGTCAATCTAGCTGGTTCTCAATGTAATACTATTGTTGTTCGACTTAAAAGTGAAGCAGTTAGAGTCCAGTCTTGTAAGAATAGAAAACGTTTTTTGGAATTTTTATCAAATATTTTTTGACATATTTAACAATACTTTTCTGTTGTACATTATCTACAAAAAATTCTAATACAGTTTTCAGTAAAGACATTAGTGAAGGTGTGGTTGGAAGGTTCTATTGTCACTCATAGACTCACCATATATAGACATTCTGAGAAAGAGAATGTCGAACTAAACGGAAGATATCTATATGTATATGTATCAAGCACAGGAAAGAAAAGAACTTGTATGATCTATGATCTAAAATCATTTTCTGTTCTGTTCTGTTCTATTCATTATTTATTCTATCAGAATGCGGATGCTACAATCAATTATTTATACACGCGTACAGTGTATTATCATCACTCTTTACTTTTCTATGTACATCGAGAAAGATCATAGTATTCCATCCACCTACGAGAAACATCTGTTTATGATAAGTACATCAGATACCTCATATCACTTGTTTTGTTTTCTCACCCACATATTATCTTTCTCTCTCTGTGTTACACATTGTATATAAGAGATGAAGGAAATTAAAAAACAAACTCGAGACAACAACAATACTTTCTTTAATAGATTCTAACAGAAAGGTAAATAAATCTTTTGAATTAAGTTTCTCTAAAGTTCTTTAATGATAAATAATTATTTGCATTGATAATAGTGAAGATCTTTTTAGAGAATATAAGTATAACCTAACTTATCGTTATATCTATACACTCTCTGGATTCCGCATTTTTT